TCGCTCTCCCATGTCATCACCTATTGATATGGGGATGGACTACTTTTCTCCACCTAATAAAAACACCTATTGATATGGAAATGCATTAAGACCAGGTGAGAGATTCTGGAAATACTGCAATTTTGCCCAGACTGTCCTGTTTTGCAAAAATGATAACATTTGGAACATAGGGCAATTTGACCAGTCTTTTGATACTTAGCAATTTTTGGAAGATAAGAATACATCTATCATTCTTGGAAGCTTAATAAATGTTATTTATTTCACTACTTTGGGGAACAATGGTTTGTTTATTCAGAGTATGGGACCCAGTAATAGGAGATAATTGTGGCAGAACTGAAGAAGCATTTGAGAATAGATGTAAAGAATTTGTGTGCCAGAGTGACAGGTTTTCCCTGTCACAACCATTTAGTTACTTGGCTACCTGGATCAATAACTGTTCCCATCTTGGCAGTCACCTTCTCTAGGCAGTCCTGATTCTTATAAGTAAAACTGATCATTCCATTCTATGACATGGCTGAACCCTATAAACTTTTGTCATAGAATCTGTATCATTGCATTTCACTTTGTTACATTTTCTTCTCCCTACCCTGGATGGTGAATTCTCATGTACATAGACTATGTCTTATTTCATATTTTCTTCTCTTACATTTGAATAAAATGTCACACAATAAGTTCTCAAAAAATATGTCTAAATTTCAGTTGTGCTATTCAATCTTATCTGCTGTTGGAATTCCTAACCACCTCTTGCTGCCACCCAGATATCTTTTATGCAAATCTGAAAATTACATAGGCAAGTCTGATTCAATAAGTGCACACACACATAAACACACCCATAACACATACGCAAATGCTTTCCTCCGTGAGACCTCTGTAAAACTATACATATATATGTGCATATGGTGAATGTTATTAAATTCAAAGAAAGATCAGGGTTTAAGGTATTACTGAATGACAGATTTCAACAAATTTCTTAAAAATTAAAAACAGGTAGACAAGTGGTAATGATGAAGAAAAGAAGAAATACCTTCTTAGTATACAGATAGAGAGCTAGAGAAGCCCAGGGAATACCCCAAGAATGAGGAAATTCTATGACAGAGCTTATGGAAGTAGAAGTGGGATTGAAAACATGGGAATTGTTGAATGTATCCATAGGGAATAATTTCATCTGATTTCAACTCCCATCTCCCAGATGAGATAGGCACTCATCTACAATCCAAAAATGTAGTATTCTTCCCTAAATAAATTGAACTTACTTTCTGGGTATAAAGGGCAGCTTGAAGCAAAGTCTTCTTCATCTCGGCATTTAGGCATCACTCAGAATAATATCTGGCACCTTACCGACTCACCCCGAAGTACTTTGACAAGGTCTGCCTTTGTGTGTTGAACTCCAGTAATCCTCTCTACTGACCTCATTCTTAAATATAAATAAACAAAGGATCGAGAACTTAGAGTAAAGCATATAACATGGTTTTGGAATAAACAGCTATTTTTATATAAACAGAGAAACAAACATCAGACTGACATCAAATTTTAGAATTCCAGGACGTAATACCTTCAAAGAACATGAAGCAATGCTTTCAAAGTTATAGGAGAATGTGTTTTCCGGTCTAAAATACTGTATAGAGCCATGATATTAGTAAAGAGTAAGGAAGAATCTAAGGACATTTTCAAACTTTTAGGTCTCAGAAAATTTACCACTTTACTTATGAAGTAAAATAAGTGCATTTAAGCATATCGAGTTTATGAAAAAAAAAGAGAAAAATAGGAAAATACCCAGGGAATTATCAAGGAAAATTTTTATGCTCTGTCCTTACTCTCCTTGTTTCAATCCATCTCTTCTTCCTGTAAGTCCTGCTGATCTATCGCTCCCCTGATCCCACCACAAGACAGAGAATCAGTGCCTTCTATGGACCCCTCCACTGCTTCACCTTTGCGATTCTACCCCAGAGGCTGCACACGCTTGGCTTCCTAAATTTCTCCGTAAGGTCCAACTTGTCCACCCATGCCAGAGCTTTAGGGAGGCTGGTTAGAAACTTTTATAATCATCCTTCTCCTCTTTCCAGACTTTACTTCCCTAGATCCTCCTGCAATTGTAGGATTGTGTATTAGAACTATATATTTAATATTATCTAATTGTACAACATAATTGCATATTAGAATTGTATTCTAATTTCTGTAATGAAGCCCTTTATCAATAATACTTAGAGTAGATCTGCTTCTCTAATTCAAACTGGACGGAGACAAACCCCTTGGGAAGGAAATGTAATCATTACATACTACTTGGCTTTACAGTGAACATTATTTACAGCCCCATTATAAACTAGACATTGATTATTGGTTTTCAAATTTTTAAATAATCTTGTAGAAAAATGATAGGAGATTGAATTATAGTACCACAGAGCCTTCTGAGTTTAGAGGTAAAACAGGGTAAGGAAAGTATAGTGAGGGTTGGGACCACCGATGCCTTTACTTACTGATAAATCACAAAGAATGGAAGCATGCTGTATCAAGTTGCAGGATGGATCAGTAGAATTACTTGGAATAATGATATAATTATTTGGTAAAAGAGAAAGGAGGATAGAGGAGGGCAGGACAAGTAAACTAAGCCTCATAAGTCATAGCAGAAAATCCATATACAAAGTCTGAAATTGATTAATTAAGAAACTGTAGAACAAGCATACCATTTTGAGATATGGATTGGTGACAGAAAAACCAAACATAGAAACATGTAGAAGTGGTTGCCTCTAAAGGAAACACAATTATCTAAGACTGGTTCATATGGAAGAAAACCAGGGAATAGGATTGGAGGACTTTTACTTTTCTCCATACATAATTTTGTAGTGATTGAATAATTTATCATATAGGTATTAGTTTGCTAGGGCTCCCATAACAAAATGCCACAGGCTGAGTGGCTTAAACAATAGAAATATATTGTCTCACAGTTCTGCAGGTGGGAGTCAAAGATCAAGGTGCCAGCAGGCTTGGTTTCTTCTTATGTCTCTCTCCTTGGCTTGCAGATGGCTACCTTCTGGCTATGATTTTCCTCTGTGGAAACTCTTTCCTTGTGTATCTTCCTCTTCTTATAAGGGCACCAGTCATATTGGATCAGACTCTCACAACCTCACGTATCATTAGTCACTCCTTTAAGGGCCTAGCTCCAGGTACAGTTGTACTGGGAGGTTAGGGATTCAACTATGGATTTTGGAAGGACACAATCCAGTCTGCAACAATGTGTAAGGTCAATTTATTTATAACAAATAAATAATTTAATTTAATTTAAATAATTATTTAAAGAAGTTTTATCAAGAGTACAAAACTGGGTGTGATAGATTGATAGATGAGACAGGGAACTCTTTCACTTCATTTTAAACCCTTGTATACTATTTAATTCTGTCAATTAGGTGTAAATGGAAACATATTAGATAAATGAACCATAAGGAGAAAGAACTCATCAGCGCTGAGATCATCCCTCCTAGTATGGAACTTCAAAGGCCATTACATATTCTCATTGCATTCCAACTGAAACATAAAGGGTGGTTATCTATAAATGTCATCAGCACCTAGCAAAAGTTTCCCTCATTTGTCCACTGTCACGATTTGTTCTTATTTTTTCCCCGCCTTTATTTTGGTGTCCTTAAAGTGTGAATTTATGTGGATATTCTTATCTTTCTCTAAACAGCATAAACTCCTTGAGTACTGGAATGATACCAATCTTCCCAGGGTCCTCATAGACTATAGTGATTTGTACATAGGAGGAATTCACAAATCAATGAGAAAATGAGGAAGAATTCAGGAGAGGAATGACAATGATAATGAAGAATTTGCCAAGGATATAATTCCATGTCCCAATTTCCGTTTCATGTTCTAAAGGAAGTGCATATACAAAACAGTATACTTCATGCTTAGGCAACCAAATCTGTTGAGTACAGAATATGTTGTTAGGATTATCTAGAGAGACATATAATGACACTAAAGAGCAGAATCCAAAATCAATCATTCAACATTCAGCTGATACAAACAAACAAATAAGGAAGGGAGAGTTACCACAGAGGACTAAGATCAATACTACTAAATTCAAAATGAATCAGTAATAAACCCCTGGGTCTAGTTAGACCCTTAAACAAATCTGATGTTCATTTGGCTCCTGATCAGATAATTCTGGGAGAAGAGAGAAGGTTCTATGAGTCCCGAGCAGGGGCATAGAGAGATCAAAGGTCTCTAACTTTCAAGCCTGGGGGAATTGCTCTGCTCCATTTGATGCCCTATTTATGATACAGAAATGTCAATTCCATGGTAAAGCTAAATGTATATTTATTGTATTTGCATTCAAAGAATACTGACACTATGTTCTTGGTTGGTGTTGGTATCAATTTCATTTTAATTCTACATTCAGAGGAGTCAAAGATGAATGCATGCTTTATAAAGGGGAGGCTTTATTTCGTATTTAAATATTTATATTATTTGTCAGTTCAGTGTGCATTGCAGACATTGATTTAACTTCAAAAGTCTAGCACAGAAACTGAACTGACTGCTGAGAACATATTTATCTTTAACACAACACAAAGAATAATATTATGCTGTCATTAGTCGGTCTGTGGGTACAAACTGCATTCATTTAATCTGAGTCCATGTGAAAACAATAATTGCAACTTCAAACTACTGATCACACATTCAAGGTCATTTTTTTTAGCTTGTCATTTAATAGATATTTTTTTATATCTGTGCTAGGAGCTATAGGGAAAGAAGCCACTGCCCTCAAAAGACTCATGATCTACAGCTTTAAAATACAGATTCACTAGCCTATATTTTAAAATTAAGTAACAATACCAAGAACACTTTAAGTTAATTTAGGATAAAGTATCAGCCAACTGGCTCTCCTGCTTTCCTCTCCATGCTCTCCTTCATTGTAATTTAAGAACGCAAAGAAAATGTATCAAATAGAAAGGAAAATTAAGAAATTTTAACTTTTATCTTCAAGCATATAATTCAAATGGTGTTGCTCTAGATCAAGCTTAAAGATGGTGCAAAATATTGTTCTTTATATTTCTGAAAGAAAATTATTTGTCGTTTCTTTCTGTCTCTTTCTTTGCATAGGTGTTCATGCAAGGTGTGTTGGTAATTACCTACCTAAAAACTGGGTGCAAATGAGATAATGTCTCTAAACTAAATTAAACTTAAAAATAACATCAAAAACTGAGCATCCTGAGTCCCACATACTAAAATACTTCTAAGCTAAAAAAAGTATTTGTATTCTAAACCCCCCATGTCCCCCAATTTTCCGAAGCCCTGGGGGTTAAGTAATACAAAAGATTCAGGCTCTATGACTTTCACCTGAAACCAGTCAGGTCCCTAGGCTTCCTAAGAACCCACGCTGAGTGGCTTCCTCTCTGTCCTGCAGATAGTGGTGCTCACACCATAGTCTCCATCCACACTTCAGAAGAACTCCATTTGTCCAGGTTCCTGCACAGTCTGGGGTCTTTGAAAGGAAGACCCGCTCACTCCTTTGGAGCCAAGGTTGTTGAATATTCAGGTTCGTTCGTCAATCTGTGTGCCTGTGGTCAATCACAGTTCCCTGCAGATGATGATGACACTTTGCTGGGGCAGCTGTGTCTGGAGGAGCTTCCAACACTAGACATCCTGTAGACCAAAGACATACTAAACCTTGATTTCTGGTCATTGACTCAGAGTCACCCTTTTGTAAAAGTCACTTTATTTCAAAGTCTCATTACCTTATCCTTAAATCTTAGTCCATCTGAAAGTTTTCAATAAATTTGAACTTAGTAGAGAAACAGTTGGGACCTTGATCCCTTTCATTCAGAAAACTATAGTGTTATACAAATTTGATGCACTCCACTTCTTACACACAAACACACACACACGCACATGCACACATTTTACATAACAGGAAGTTCCATGAGTGAGTCACTAAAGATTTTTCTGGATATGGCCTCTCACTTGTATTTATTAGACAAAACATAAAATAAAATTGGCATTCAACAGACCTATAAAGATAAAATAAGGTTAACTTGATGTCTTGCCAATGGGTTTCAGCCCTGGGCAAGTGCACTGTGGATTCAGTGTGACCAAAGAAATGACAGTCGAATGTTCTTGGGGTGAAAGGGATTATTACCTGACTTCGTTCTCCTGGCAGTAGGTCGAGCACTAGTGCCTCTGCCTCTGCCCAGAGCACTGGGCTGAGCTCTCTATATAGCTCAATAATAGCTTATTGCCTATGTGTTTGGAAGCGGTAGCCTAGCAACAGTCCAGCTACATCATCAAATGGCTTAAGTTCAGTGAGGATCCTGGCCATAGGAACCTCAACTTCTCCATAGCTGATTAAAATTAAGAAGCTATAGATATTGAATTGGTTAGATATTAAGTCTTACAAGAATTAACCAATCATATACATTGGTTCCACATGTATCTGATAAATAAGTAGAATTTTACCTTCTTTGGGGAAAAAAGAACCAAGTCCATCAGCTGTCTTCAGTGGAATTCTCTCTACTCTTTCCCTTGGTTCAGGTGGACAAGCTTAATTGAAGATACTTAAACTTCCCAATCATAAACCCAACTGCCTCCGAAAACTCCTTAAGTTTACTTCAGAAAGGCTATTATTTTATTCATTTTTCTCACATTGTTCCCATCTCAAAAATATGAGTGTGTCTCATGTTCTTCTCCTTGGCACTTGTAGTAGATTAAACTACCACATATCCTTTCTACTCCTTCCACTGAGAGGTTGGGTCTAATTCGACTTCCCCTTAGCATTCTTAGTTGCTTGACCAACAAAATGTGGTGGAAGTGTTTTTCTGAAACTTCCAAGGCTTGGTTATAGGAAACCTCCTGCCAGTTCCTCTTAGAATGCTCTTTCTGGGGAATGCAAACTACCACATTAAAAATACAGTATCCTTGAGACTAGCATATTATGAGAAAATTGAAGCAAGCCAAGTAGAAGCCAGAATGAAGAATGATAAATGCCCAGCCAGTGCTTTCAGCCACCCCAAGCCAGGAGTAAGACATGCACCTAAGAGCCATCTTGGACCTCCAGCCCTAAGGGATACAACCAGGAGAAAATAAAGGAGCCCAACTGACAGCCAGAATCAAAGGCTCTTAATCTTGTCCCAAATATCTAATTTGAATCCATGATTTATTAGTTTTCTGTGGCTGCCGTAACAAATTACCACAAAGTTGGCTGCTTAAAACAACAGGAATTCATTCTTTCACATCTCTGGAGGCCATGCATTTAAAAATAGTATCACTGAGACAAAATCATGTGCCAACATTTTACCTCCAGAGTCTGTAGATTAAAATCCATTCTTGTCTTTTCCTGTTTCAGATGGTAACCAGCATTTCTTGACATAATGGTCACATAACTCCAATTTCTCCTCCATCTTCATTTCACCTTCTTTTCTATGTGTATTTGCATGAAATCTCTGCAGTCTCTCTCTGATAAAGACCCATGTAATTAAATTTAAGGCCCACTCAGACAATCTCCCATTTAAAAATCCTTAATTTAACCATATCTTTTACTATAGAAGGTACCAGTATTAGGGCCTGATATTTTGGGGGACATTTTCCAATCTACTATTAATTCATTGAGCCCTTTATTCTTATTTACATCATTCATCACAAAAGCCCTCAGACTCCCAACTCATCCTTTCTCTCTTGTATTCTACTTCTATAAGATTCTGTATCTGCTGCCTCTTCTGTATTCCTTCTTCCCATCTTCACTGACTTCTCTAACCCCTCCACAGTGCCTTCTGAAATCCAGAGCACATTACCAGCAATTTCTGCTCTCTATCTGATCATTGGCTTGAACATTCCCTTTACATTTTTGCTGAAATAGAAACATGACTCTCTATTAAGAGCACTGGTTCCCCACAGTCTTATCAAATGGTCACTGATTTTTTTCTTGTCTTCATAACATTGAGTCTGGAAGTGACATAGATAGCTTTTTTGTTCCTCTTTGCTGCTTTTGTATCTTCCTCTCTCCTTCCCTAAAATTCTTCCTTTGATTCATCGCACCGTATTACATACTACCCTTCATTTTTTCTGACATCAACTCACATTCAGTTTACTTTTCTTCATTAATCCAACAGTCTTAACTCTGGTCTTAACTCTTGGCAGTTTTGATATGTACATATGTGGTTTTTCCAACACACTGACATCTTAGTTTAATGAGCCTCATTTGTTCAATGACCTTGTCTCCCACTCTTTCATCAGCCATGCACTTTAATAATCATACCCTTAAGCATATCTTTACTAATAATTGCAACCTTTCCATAATCTCAATTTCATGAATCCTGCTCTTTCAATATCATCCCTTCTCTTTGAGCTCTAATACTCCAATAATAAAGATCTTTTACTACTCAGAGACTTCTAATTTATTGATCTATAACATTTGTTTTAACTGTCACTTACCCGTCATAACATTCTCTCCTCAAACAGCTAAAATTCTATAGTCTATCACTTGCATATATTTTCCACTTGTTTGATTCTCTCCTTCTTTTTTATTCTTGCTTGGCCAGACCAGTTTTTCATCCTTTTCAGGCCTGTATGAATAGGGCTGTAGGAAAACTCACAACTACCCTGACTGAAGTTTCTATAAATTCATGATGATGGATATCTTCTGTGCCCTTAATGCTGACAAGCAATCAACTGCGTTACCCAAGTTCATTCCGTCTCCTATTCCTTAAACAATTGTTTAATACCTCCCCCTCTCTCTCTTCAAAACCACAACATGTATACATCTCTCAGAAAATAGAAGGCATAAGAAGAGGAATCCAACAAAATCACACCACCATGTCTACTCACCAAGCAGTATCTATATTTTCATACTTGCTTCTCCTTCTAGTGCAATGGATCATGCAGTCACTCCTATATAAAATCAACCCCTTCACTTATGTTTATGTTCCAAACTCTCTCAAGTTATTCAAGGACTTAGCACTAGCAATTCTTTCTTTTCTCTTCTAATCATCAATTTTTTTCTTTTGGATCATCTACAAAACATACTGTGAGTTCTCCCATATTAAACAAAAAACAAACACTCTTTTCCCCTCTTTCTCCAACAGCTGTGGTTTGATTTCTCAAGTCACTGAAACAGAATCATTCTGAAGAGTTGCTAATTTTATCGTGTCCAGGTTCTCTCCTCTTCTCCTAAACCCACTTCAGTCATATGTTAAACCCTGACACCTGGCCAATACTGTTCTCATTAACATCACAAGTGTACTTCATTTTTTTTTCTTTTAAGTGCAAGAGAGACTGCTCAAACCTCTTCTTACTTGTCCTATCAGTAGAATAATCTGATGTGCACTGGAGAGTCCTGTTTTACTCTTGTTTCCCTGCTGTAATCAATAGTGTCTAATTTAATTTTCAAAGTATCCTAATTTGGATGTTAATTTTATAGTTGCTCTACTGTTAGCAGCATTATACAGAGTTGACTGGTCTTTTTATCCTCCAGGTATTCTCTGCATTTGACTCCTGTTCTGGTTTTCCACTTTCAAAATAGCCAGTCTCTCAGTCTCATTTACATGTCCCTAGTATTCTCCACAATCTCCTATTGAGGAGTCCTGGGTTTACGACTTTGATCCTTCTAATAGGTAACCACTGTTGAAATAAGTAGGTACACTGAAAATGAAATGATAAAGTACTGTATGCAATGATTTATCACATAAGGAATCACCACTCCGTGATGGTTTTCCCTTTGTATATGAGACTAGAACAAAGAGATTTTTAAAAAAATATTTCAAAGGCTTTTGTAAAAATATCAAGAATTATTTTTTTCCTACCTTCCCTCTTGGACCATCTTCATAAAAATAATATATTTCTAACATTACTGTGGTAAAAAAAAAAAAGGCATTAAATGTTCAATCAAACGGAAATGTAAGATCGAGCCCTAACTTGACCAATCCCCCAAGAGTGTAATTATAGATACTAAATTTCATTGCAAATTTCTTCTGTTATAATTGTGGATAAGGAAAAAGCTTAAAGGAAAAAAAAATTTATATGTATATGTAAGATGCAGATTGGTGTTTTGACTATTATGTATAATCTGCATCTTTATTCTCTCTACCCTGTGCTTTTCATATAATGAAAAGAAAACTAGTAGAGCATTGATTGATACAGTAAATTTTTTTCTTTTGTTTATTTTGTTGATGGAAGGATAAGGGAGCCTTTACGAGAGAGGCATATTGGAAAGCAACCCCAAATATAAATGTAAATTAGAACATTCCTACAAATTGTAACATATCATTATCTCATTCTTTAAAGAAGGAAAAACAAAGCTAATAATCATCCAGTTACATATGGCAATAGCATAGTTTTGTTTTGTTTTATTAGATTATTACATTCCCTTATTTATGAATCAAGACATTTAGAGCTGGAGTGGCCCCTTCTGACCTTTTGAATTCCTTAATGTGAGGCTGTTCTCATTATTGGACAACTTTATTGTCAGTATACTACTCCTTGTCTACATCTTTTGCTGCGCTGTTTCTCTGTGTTTGAACAGAACTCTTGCTTCATTTCTTTAATGACTTGAGTCAGTTTTTTCTATTCAGATACCAAGTAATTTCACCCCAAATTGGAAGATCTAAGTTCAGTATTCACTCTTTCCATAAATGTCTCCATCATGGTTAAGAATATCATATGAATCAGATGCTTCTTAATTCACAACTGAGGTCCATTAGCACCTGAACTGAAATCTCATTGTATACACTAAATCTTTCTCCTTCAGAAGGACGTGATATTTAGCTGATCTGTCAAAGTATTTCTTTTATCACATTCTCAGTGTTTATTTTTTGTACAAGACCTCACTGTCGACCTGCATTTTACTGATCCAAAAAAATCTTATATATAGTTCTAACGCATTAATTGTTGGAAAGAGATAATCCTCATTCTAATGGTGCTGAACAGTAAACCACAGCCACCTCTGAGTTGCCGTCTGATCCTTTGTTCAGCTGTCTTTTGACCCTCTCTGACATTTCAGTCATCTTTTTCTTTAGAGCTTCTATTTGCCTAAAAAAATACTGACTAGTTGTAACTTGTTTGAACAGGGAGGTAGCTGCTATGTTTCAAAATTATTTGTTATAAAATGAGGTACTTTCAAAGAGGATTTCAGTGGCTAGTTCAATATTGTGAATATAAAATGTCTGTGCTTATCAAACTTATTACTGTCAAGACTTTACAAAGAGCATTAAAAATATGCAATCTGTTGTTTAGGATTTAATCTGTCATCTTGGGAATCAGAGAGTCCTAGATTTATCATTTAACACCTCTAAATTTTATGTGGATATGCAGGAAAACTGCTTACCCTCTTAGTGTCTCAGATTTTTCATCTATTTGACTTCAGAGTAGTTAAAAGAAAAATAACAATAATTAAGGCATATAGAGATAAAAACCTGGCACACAGTAGGGCCACCAGTGATATTTTATTTATTATCAGTAGCTAAAAATTCTAAGTCATGGAACCTTACTGCTGTCTTTCAGAAATGCGGAGTGGACAGCATTTTAATTGCTGCAAATATTATTCTTTGTCTTCAGTCCTTCCTATTTGATCAGTCTTTATGATGGTATTGATTTATCCTGGTATTAACAGTATTGGTCACCTGAGGGTCTGGCCACCCAGGCTGTGATTTTGGAATTGTCTTTGTCCAAACAGGCACTTCTTGGTTTCTGCTGCAATCCTCTCCAGAAGTATTTCTGCTCATTATTACTGATGAAAGAACTGTTGCATACATCTGTAACCAACATTGTATATTATTCAAGGTAAATTTCCAATTATGGTCTCTTACACTGCCACATATATATAATATGATTGATCTTCAAAGTATTTTTTTTCTTCTTAAAAATAAAACTAAGAACCTCACATTACATAATATGGCAGATCTCATCTAGGCAGTGCAAATATTCTGCAGACTTTGACTACCACCATGAAATATCTGAATTCACATGCATATTGCCTTTATTTTTAACAAAAGGCAAAGTTGTAGATCTCAAATCACCTACCAAATATTAGCTTAGCAATTGCAAATACATTGAAGGTATATTAGAGAATTAACTCTTTGCATTGCTGCCAAAGTTTTAGTTGTAGTTAATATCACTAACACCTAAAATTGTGTGGAACATATGGAGTCAGGATGTGGCTAGAAAGAACAGAAGAAAATAAACCAATTACAAAGCTAGTCCTCAGCTCCATTTACATTTGAAAAATTAAATCCTTTACTAGCAGACTTCAGAAAAACTAAGTGACCTTATAGAGCTAAAACTTTCAAAAGAGAAAATTAATAAAAAGACAGCAAAGAGGAAACATAAAAGGAAGAATGAGAGAATTTCCAGGGAAGCAGTAGACACAGTAAAAGCTGAGGACAAAATGTGTTTTTGAAAGCAATATTCAGATTAAGAAGTTGTCTGTAAAGAAAAATGAGTTTTCAAAAGGTTGAAGAATATTCAGTATCTGATTTATGTCTTTATATTTCAAATGTATCTGGTGCTGTAAAGACAAAGTTATAATCAAAGCAGAAAAGTTCACATCTACAAAGGAATTTAACTAGCTTAGACTCTTTCAACAATGAGAACTTTAATTATTAAAATTTGACTTAACTGGCATAGGTGTGGAAGCTGTTGTCAGTTCTGTAAGAGTCTTTCTCCATGATTTCTAAAGAAATTTAATTCATTGGTGAAATTCATGAATTTCTAATTTATTAGTCCCCCATTTACAGCAATGCTGTATTCATTGGTCCAAAAATGACCCATGAAAGATTAACTAGAATTTTCTTGGGCTTTTACTTTGGACACTGAAAGATGCTCTTTCCTTTTTGGTTGCGATTTGACTGTCAGCACCTCAATTTTCCCAATCACAGGAAGTAATCCACCTGTAGTAAAGAGAGAAGACTAACACATTTTATTTTATTTTATTCTATTTGTTTAGTCCTTGAGTCTTGCTATGCTTGAGGTCTGATTCAACCCTGGACTTAGAAGTGTGAAAGTTCATTATTTCCATTGATTTATGTAACGAAGGACTGAGTTTCCGTCGCTTCCAAACAAACTGTACTGTCTAAGTATATGTCTATATTATTGTATACACCTCAAAATATAGTCTGGATGGCAATTTTATAACTACAAATATAACTTAGTTGTCATTTTTCTTTTGGCTCATTTTTATAGTGATACTGACCTCTTCTGGGATGACTGTGTGCCCATCTAAGTGTTTCCAGAGCTAGTTCGGGGAGCTAGGTCTTCCAGAGCCATTATCCTTTTATTATTGAGCAAATAGTTTCTTCCTTCATGTTGAAGGGGAAATCTTTTTTTTCTCTATCCTTGTAGTTTACTGGCTAAGCCTATAAATCATACATAAAGCAGAGTAACAAGAGAGAAAATGTTTTAATTATATATTCACACACAGGAATTTTGCAAAGAGAAATGAAACTCAAGGAGATGGCCAGATGACTGAGGCTTATATTCCTCATCTTAGGCTAAACAAAGTAAAAGGGTTTTGGGATTTTGGATTGAGGAACCAAGTTAGAAAGCTGAAGGAAGAAATATATGGTAAATAAGAGTTGTCTTATTATGTTGGTGAAAATCTTTCAAATGAAGAGTTGTCTCAGAGCAGCTATCATCCTGGTAAGGGACTGGCTTTACAAATGTAAATTTTCCATACAAAAGGGAAAATTTATACTTCATTTTTAGGCAGTGAGGATAAGATAAAGAACTTATCCTGTATCTGGTGATTTTTCTGTTGCCATTAGCTCCAAATAATATTATGCCAAAGTAATATATTTTGGGGTGACATATTTTAGTACTCTTCAACATCTTAGATTCTGGACATTGTTGAATACCCTTCCTAGTCAATCTGAAAAGTTGAAATTGGTTTGGGGTAAATGGAAGTTTTCAACCAGAATTTCTAGCCTGGCCTTGATAATGATATGCATATTTGGGCCTGTTTACACATCAGTGGGGTTTACCAAGCCAGAGCTGCTGGTCTCA